TATTTGTTTGGTTTAAAACACTTTCCAGTCATAAAACTTCAGTTGTTAGTTAGGAAATTACATCATTAATTTTGTAAACATTTCTTTTCGGCGTTAAAACAAAATTTTCTGCATATGCAAAAATAATTACCGTGTGTATTTCTTTTAGAGGGACTACTTGGTGTCATGATGAGATACGTCGATATTTACGAAACAACCATTTAATAGTATATAACAAATATTCGTAATATAGAAAAACTATATTACAGATATTCGTAATATTGATTATTACGCCTTTTTGTAATGTAGGCCTTATATTACACAAAGCTGTATATGTTACTATTTCTCGTTATATTACGAGTTTGAGTAACATTACGAATAACAATAATCGCCTGGACTGTTATCGGGAACCCTCAAAACCTTTTACGAAAGATATTTCCAAATGTCGACATTTTATCCAAAATAAGAAAGTAGATGTAAAATTATTAGTCCAAATAAAAAATACCAAAATTCTCATTTCGAGTTTGATAAGAACATGTTGTAATTATGGAAAAGTAAAATAAGAAAAATACCGAACTCCAAGGAAAATTCAAAACGAAAAGTCCCTTATCAAATGTCAAAATCAAAAGCTCAAACACATCAGACGAATAGAAAACAACTGTCATATTCCTGACTTGGTACAGGCATTTTCAAATGAACTTACTGGAAATATACATTATTTCTTAAATTTTCGTTTTGTTAAAATTATTCAGACATGAAGCTACGTTATGACTTTGAAAGACTCCACTTCATTTGAACTTTGGTGGATAGTTGTCTCATTGGAAATCATACCACATCTCCTTATTTTTATATTCATAACGTGATTATTTGTCAATGTTTGAAAATATTATATATTAATATAACTAATGAAGGCGATTTGATATATATGTGTGTGTATATCAACCTTATATAGATTTGAAAAGAAGTTAAATGAAATATAAAATAATTCGTTTATCTTGTTCGCTCCTCTGTTTCAAAATAACAAGCTTTTTAAAAGACTGTTATAAATTAATAGTATATTAATAACAGAACTTAAAAAGTAGAAAAAAATGACAGGTCCGTGTCCTTGTTTTTAAGATATAATCAATTGAAAATTTGCCGGGAAATGATTCTCTCTAGATTTTTCTTACATTTAACACTGGCACCTTTTTTCTTTTGAAAACTATGAAAACATAACAAAACTATATGCAATAAGATTATGAAAAGAAAAGAAGGGGTCTGCGGGCAAAATTGTTATTGGCGCTACATGTATTTAACTAGAGGATTCCGTATATCTGTCATAAAGTACAAAACATGAGTAGCGAACATACTTAAGTTAAACACAATACATCTCACCGGCAACATGACGCCAAATTTGGGTCCGAATCATATGGCAATAGTAGTTCCTGAAGTCACGGTGTCAATAAAGAAATTCAGTTAAAATTTGTTTACCAGATTAAGAATTCGGTGGTCCCATGGACAGATAGGTCAGTCGAGGTCAATATTCCGGACTACGACAATCTTCACTGAACAAGGGCTACAACTCAAACTGGTATTTAATGGGGATTTTAGATACAATATTTTTGCTAAACCCAAAGTAGGTAATGACTTTATCTATTTATCTAAATGTTTTATCTTATTCAACTCATAAATCAGTCGTTGGTTGCTATTTTTTTTATTACATAATAAACATCGGGCACTATCTAATCTCCGTCTTCTCTATGGACATTCAGACCCATGTATTTATTTTTTATTATCATTTTTTTTTTATTGCTTACTATTACTAGTACCTTAGATATCGAAATTTATAATATATAGAGATAATTAGCCACTTATCAATAATGAATGACATCATAAACGTCTCATAATCGTAAAGGTTTACGTAAACAAATATGTATATCTTCGTAATACTATAAGGATTACAACCACTCACAACTTCACATCACTCGCGACACAACACGCAACACTAAGGAAAAAATATTTAGTAAGATTAAAGAATATTATATATGAATATCACTGGTTTCAAAGTTTTCGCCTTTTACTTTCGATAGTATTGTTACGATGACAATAATTTCTCAAGTCGCATATACTTGTGTGCTCAAACACCATTATATACAAGACTAAATGAAAGATAATAATAAATGCATACCTATGTTGTTTAGAGATTTTTCAGTGAAGAAAAAACAGCTAGATTGAAATGTGCTTAAAGTATGCAGTTAAACAATCAGCTAAAGAAAAGCTATTAATTGTAAAATCTATATACGTCATGTTTTTTTAATGTGATTTACTTTAATGAAAAACTGCCCGCATCATATTATAGATTCATTGGGAGGTAAACACATTTGATCTCTGGTGGAGAGTTGTCTCATAGACAATCATACCTCATCCTCTTATTTTACATTGACCGTTATTCATCTTGTATGATTTGAAGCGTGGACTGTCGATATCTATGTCAAATGAAACATAAAAACATACACACAAATAAAAAAATACAAAAGCAAATTATACATTTATATACTAATGCGGTCTTTTGTATATATATGTGTGTATCAGCCTCTTTTTGTTGAATTTATTATCGTATTTATATGGAGGATGTATATATTTTTTTTCTTCATTTATTTGTATTGTGATTGTTTCTGTTTTGTCTTTGTAGATATTCCAATATGTGCAGATGTTATATGTGACGAATTTTTCCTTTATATTTACTTGTTCAATAAAATTAATAAACTCGAAACGATCCAGAAACAACAAGGGCAATCACATAAACAATTTGAAGAAGAGAGGCGAAAGATACCAAAGGGACATTCAAACTCATAAGTCGAAAATAAACTGACAACGCCATGGCTAGAAAAGAAAAAGACCAACAGACAAACAACAGTACACAAAAAAACAACATAGAAAACTAAAGACAGAGCAACACGAACCTCACCAAAAACTGGGGGTGATCTAGGTGCTCCGGAAGGGTAAGCAGATCCTGCTCCACATGTTGCACCCGTCGTGTTGCTCATGTTAGTACAAACCCGGTAATATGTCTAATTTGGTAGGTCAAATTCGCGGAAAGGGGGAAGCGATTGTAGTTACGACAATTGGAACATATCCGATACCATCTGTGAAACGAATATTCCATAACGGAATTGAAGATTCCCGTACAATTATCGAACAATCTTGGCAGCATATCCCCTGGGTCTAAATGACAATATAATGGGACAAGGGAACATATCTAAATCTTCTTCTATTGATATCATGAATATTGTTGATAAAAATCAACGTAATAATAGGTCTCGTGGCAAACGTCTCAATCGAAACAATCGAAATCGAATTAAACATCATATAAATTATACTCTTGATGATCTCCTATCTATATTTAAATACAACGGTAGGCATCAATTATTATGTAAACTGGGCCAAATACCAATTAGTAAATTACATGATATTTTCAAGGAGTGTGACACAAGCAGGTTCTTCAGCCCACTCTATGAATATTCGCGTATAATTACAGCATTTTGCCACCATAGGATGTTCCTTGTCGATAAACCTGAAGATAGATAATAAACGGCATTTTCTGAAAATTAAATATATCAACAGAGGTATTGATTTAATCAACTTAAATCGAGTATATTTAATGACTCTACCATTCAAAACTGTATACCTCCTTATTTTGATAACACAGAACTACCGATTATTTCGTATACATACAAAAAACCCTGCAGAAGTTTAATTTTCAGACGTCATTGAAAAAAATAATACTCCTCTAAATCGAGATTGTGCATCTTCGAATTTTAGATATGATCCCTATGGCCATTTTATTACGAGGGACCTCAATATCGTTCAAGACCGAGAGGTTATTAACATTTTTGAAAAATGGACCAAAATATCGTCTTCCATCTAAAATAGATTGGAAACAGTTTCGTCAGGCCATATAAGGCGCTCTTTCATCGTATTGTAAAAATCGGTGTAAACGGGGAAAATCTGATAGATTATTTATTAGTTGTAATTGGCTTTCAACTGGCTAGTGTTCTTATATCGGTGCTTTGTGTTTATTGTTTTTATGTTAGTTGTTTTTGTGCTTCATACCAACCTATTAAGTTAAGCCAATTGAAACAGATTTTTACGGTTGATCTTATGTTGTGCTTTTACGCCACTGTCACGGGTTAGGGGAAGATTCAGCGCTCAAACATGTTTAACCCCACCACTTTCTTTACGTGACTGTCCATATTTGATTTAGTGAATTGTTTTCAAATTCTTATGAATAAGCCAATTAGTTTTCTCGTTTGAATTGTTTCACAATGTTTTATAGCTGACTATATAGACGGTATGGGTTTTCTCGTTGTTAAGACCGTAGAGTGACCATGATTGCTCATATCCACGTCATTTGAACTAAGGTGGATGGTTGGGGCATTGGCAATCATACCACATCTCATAAAAGAGAGGCGAAAGATACCAAAGAGACATTCAAACTCATAAGTCGAAAATAAACTGACAACGCCATGGCTAAAAGAAAAAACCAACAGATACAATAGTACACAAAACACAACATAGAAAACTAAAGACTGAGCAACACGAACCCCACCAAAAACTGGGGGTGATCTCAGGTGCTGCGGAAGGGTAAACAGATCCTGCTCCACATTTGGCACCCGTTTTTGTTTGATATTTATATGAGTTGCAGCAAATCAATTTACAATCTTATTTTTCAAGGAACATATGGCCACTAGAATGTTAAGAAAAAAAGGTATCATTTAAAGATGAAAAAAAATCTAATATAGAGATCAACTATAAATTTATTTAGTTCAGCTTCAATGATGAAAGATCCAGTTTGTGGTGCCACACACCATCTAATCTCTTTTCACCTGAAAAAAATACAATTATCATTATTATTATTATCATATTATTATTATTATTATTATTATTATTATTAGGTAGTAGTAGTAGTAGTAGTAGTAGTAGTAGAAATAATAATAATTCAAAAAGTCAATATAATGAATAATCATTCTTTATGTAATTACCAGTAACCTTACGATTCTATCCAAAGTGTTGCCATTAGCATCTCTTTTTATTCTGTTAAATTCAAGCCGTCCGAAAGGTGGCCTTCCACTAGCTGTCCCTGCTAAAACTGCTATTACCATCATCAATATGGCACACAGAATCTTGAATATTTTCATCTTGCAGAGGATTTGTTCACCTAAAGGATATATAATAATGTATGATAAAATTTTCCTGCGTATGAATTTCCGAATATATAACCTTCATCATATACGCTCAAAACATGAAAAAAAAGTTTGGAAAGCATGATGTGCTGTATTTTAAATCACATTTAAACATATTTAACGGGAAAATATAGCTAAGCTGAAAATCGCTGCTTTTGTTTGAAACTTACATGATATAGTTGATATCTCCCTCTTTTTAAATGATCCTGCTCTCGTTCAGACACTGTAAATAAAATTTTCTAAATTTTCTGTTTTAAGCGTAGAAATTTTATGTGACTTTATATATGAAGTCAGAGTGATTTTCAATTTAAGCAGGCGCTTAAGACATATGTGACCGCCCATGACATTTTCAGGCTTATGGAGATATAACGTCATTGTAAAAAAAAAACGCCGTTAACTAAAAACGTTACGTCACATTAGTATTTGTGCATTGTACATCACATTTTTCTAATGAATAGTTATCAAATACCAAATAAAATGCTATACAGGTTCTACATTGTTTTTAAAACCTCACCAATGATACTATATTTAAAATTTAATCACCATAAAATATATGTGTAACACTGGAACAGCCAATAATAAGAATACATTTATACACATTCATGAATGTAGCCTTACGATTTTTAGGGTAATTGTATTTGAATATGGTTAAATCTCTTTTCAAGTACTTTATACCAAAAATTACTTCTGTAAGTGAAAAAGGGTACCAAAGCTTGCCTAAAGCCGTGAGCTGAACGTGGATCAGCATATAAAATTAGTTTTGCAGCCCTTTCCTGGAAATTTATTATTCTTACTAGCTCATTTTTAGCACAAACACTCCAAATAATACAACAATAATCTATCAGTGGGAGAATATAACCATTATAAAATAATTTTCTTGGATCAATATTTAGAAATTTTTTGATCTTAGAGAGTAAATGAAGTCTAGATGATATTGATGAACATAAGTAATTAACATAGCCTGTCTGTTACAGATTAGAGTCAATTCTAACACCTAAAAGTTTTTCAATTGATGATTTTTGGAGAATATTATTCTCAAAAGTAAGAACTGGTTCTGCTTGATGGAAACGCAGCCTTTGTGTTGTACCTATAACCATACATTTACATGCAGACTTCTTATACGTTCAGGTATTTCACATCCAATTTTTTATGGAAATATTCTTTATAAAGCACAAAAATGTCAGTATTCACCTCTGAAGCTAACAAAACCTTTAAATAGACTTATTAAGAAGGGATATAGTTACGATACTGTTGTCAGGTCATTAAAGATTGCATATTTTGGCGTTAATATTGATTCACTTATAGGGTCTTTGCATCGGCACTAAACACATTTATTTAAAAACCAGTTGTTGGCATGACACGGGTTATGTTCTTCTCATATATGTTATGATGGTATGATACTAAACCCCTAACGGGAAGGATTGTGCCTGATATTCATATGATGAAGACATAATCTTTCAATCAGTTTAATTGAAGTCTGGAGCTGGCATGTCAGTTAACTGCTAGTAGTCTGTTGTTATTTATGTATTATTGTCATTTTGTTTATTTTCTTTGGTTACATCTTCTGACATCAGACTCGGACTTCTCTTGAACTTAATTTTAATGTGCGTATTGTTATGCGTTTACTTTTCTACATTGACTAGAGGTATAGGGGGAGGGTTGAGATCTCATAAACATGTTTAACCCCGCCGCATTTTTGCGCCTGTCCCAAGTCAGGAGCCTCTAGCCTTTGTCAGTCTTGTATTATTTTTAGTTGTAGTTTCTTGTGTACAATTTGGAGTTTAGTATGGCGTTCATTATCACTGAACTAGTATATATATTTGTTTAGGGGCCAGCTGAAGGACGCCTCCGGGTGCGGGAATTTCTCGCTGCATTGAAGACCTGTTGGTGACCTTCTGCTGTTGTCTGTTCTATGGTCGGGTTGTTGTCTCTTTGACACATTCCCCATTTCCATTCTCAATTTTATTTAGTTTTATCCGAATTTATGAACATGTTATTTTCATGACATCATTTTTCAACATATTGGATATCATCTTGTACTTTTAACTGCATATCAGCAATACTCTAGTTGTGTCATCAGCATAAAAGTTTGTATGGCAGTTTTTGATATATAATGGAAGGTCATTTATGTACAAAACTAACAAAATGTGACCAAGTATTGAGCCTGATAAATTTTTTATCAGAATATTGATTACTTAAATGGACTTGCTGTGTTCTTTCTTTCAAATATGATTTTAAAAAAATCAACAGTATTGTCATGGAAGCCATCAATTTGAAGGTTTTTTTTTTTACATAAAACTTCATGATCAACAACATCAAAAGCTTTTTTAAAATCCAGGAGAACTGCCATATTGATATTTCCATTATTCATTTCATGTAGCCATTGATCAATGATATTAATGAGCATGGTTAGGTTTAAAACCAGATTGGGAACGGTGTAAAATTTGAAACTTAGTCAAATAATCATACAGATGTTTAGAGCAAATGAAAAGGCCAAATCGTTATTAATTTACAGTGTAAATGCAGTTTATAGTTCTTAAAATGTTATAAAAGAACATTTTAAAGAATTCCACAATATTATGTAGTAAAATTATAAAATCAAACCGCATTCTGTTAGAACTTTAACAATTAATATTCTTGAAAACTTCACGTACTTTTTCAGTTTTTATTTTTGTTTAACATTTCAACATAACACTGTATCCCATTATACATACTTTTCAGCGCTATTGCCTAAATGAATATGTAAAGTATTTAAGTTTCCATACGAATGCAATCATCATTAAGAGAATGAGTCGTGTGTATGTTATAATTATGTAAATCCTATTTTTCTAAATGTTAGGAAATTGAATATTTTAAAAGTGCAATATCATTGACTGAGGTTAAGAATAAATCTATGTAGCAACTTTTTGTTCACTTGTTTTTGAATAAAAAAAAACATTTTAAATACATTTTTTGGGGATAGAACACTACAATACACAATATTCTTTTACAAATCATTTCCAATTTTTGTATTAGAGATATACCATGGATTTTTTTAATTCTGAGATATCCCAAATTCTGTAACGCTTGATTTGCTGAATATGACTCAACGATTGAGTTGAAATAATTCTAAAAAAAAAATGCATAGTACTAAGATAATTTTGATAACAATTGTTTTAGAGAAGTAACATCTGAAAATACAACATTATAAAATTATTTTCTCTGAACTTCCAATGTCCAACTAGTATAGTTCTGACAAAAACTCGTAGAATGTAGAAATTTCGGTTGATAGTTGTATAGGGAGATAAACCATACAATTTGGATCTCAAATATAAAATATCTCCATTTTTATCAAACATCGACATAGAACATTATAAGAACCATACGACGATTTGTTCTATGTCCAGTCAATTAATGTAAGACGATATACGTAAAGATATGTGATGAATTATTAGGAGTCCAAATCCTCAAAATATCCATATATATAAGTAAACAAAAAAGATCAGAAACAATATAAGACATTTATCATAGTCCTATTAAGTTGTTGTAGCATGGGAGATCTAAAATATATTTTTCTTCATAAGTTGAAGCCTTGTAAAAATAATATATAAATCAACAAACACTTACAAATTAAAGACTGTTTTCAGATAGTTCCTTCAATTTCCTCTGTCGAAGTATGTGTGGAGAAGGTAAACTACATGTACTTTACTTTGGTTATATTCTATGCTTGAAAATACACAAGTACTGGAGAAATTTGAAATTATTTTATTCTGCATAAATTGAGAAACAAGCTGTCAAAGTGTTTGAAATCCAAAATTATCTGCTCTATAGAGTTTTCATAAATAAAATCATTAGAATTGCACCATCATAATAAATACATCATCATTTTTCAACCTAAACCTTATATAAACCGTTAAGCTTCGCATGCTATGTTTGGTACAGACTTGCAAAATTCAACCTTAATAGAAAACAAAAGACACCCACTCCAGGCTGTGACAAAACTAATTTCATTGCAAGTTTAAATTACATTTTCTAAAATAAAAACTTGTTCAAAAAGGTCGTTAGAAATTACTCAGCGCCGATGAAATATGTGACCCGCCATACAATTTCCATGCAAGCTTATGGAGGTATAACGTCATTTTTATCTTGAGAATCCAGTAGGGTACACTTCAGGTCACAAAGTTGCGTTTAGAAATTGCCTCAGATCACCAAACTCTAGACTTTCAAATGATAAAGATATTAGCAAATATATTTGTCACCGTACGGCTTAAATCATGAGCAAAACCCATACCGCATAAAAAGCTATAGTAGACTTTGCATGATTTCTATCCTCAAAAAATAATGCTTTGACTTATCTCCTGTAGATAAATCTGATATCTTTGATGAGAAGGTTTGTCCGATCTGATGTTTCTGAATGTATATACATCGTGTACGGAGACGCACCTCTTCATAAGTATATGGAGATGTGTTATGATTGACAATGTGACAACTATCCGAAGAAACCAAAGAACAAAGATGTCAATAATTACAGGTCACCATACGGTCTTCAACAATGAACAGAACCCACTCCGTACATCAAGTAAAAATCAGGAATCGTTGAAACACTATATGATGAAACAACTCATAAGAGAAAACGCCTTATTTATGTAACAAAAAATTTGTTCCGTCGTGACATTTGTTCTTCCGGAACTTATTTCATAGGAAATATGTTCCACCAGAATTTATATCACAGAAAATTTATACCAGGAATATGTATTATAAGAAAATATGTTCCACCTCTGCAAAATTTGTTCCGCAACTAATTTTTTTACCAAATGTGAAATAAGTTCTGGAACGAAAATCACAGCGCCATGAATTTTGTTCCAATATTAAATGTTTAAAAAAAGTGAAATAAGTTTCTGTGATAGAAGTTCCTAAAGAACATATTCATAGAATCCGCTCGAACCTATTTCACAGAAAACAAGTTCCTTTGCAACATATTTCACAGCGTATCATTTTCTTTTTACACTTAAATGTTAATACAAGCTGCATGCTGTACTGAGCTTGAATGGGGTACATTTGCAATTGAAGGCATGACTGCAACTATAGGATGAAGAACATAAATAAAAGCGATGGTAATGTATTATAATTTGTATTTGTTTATGTTTTATGTGGTATTCCCCCTTGTTTCCTGTTAACTGTCATGGGTGTTATAGTTTAACATGATGCATTAACATTATATTAAGCAAAGCATTCTATAGTTGTACCTGACAAATTTAATACTCATCATTGAAGTCTTTAAACAACACAAGAACATTCAAAATATGATAAATCTTTTAGAAATTTAAATCAAGTAAGCATATATATTGTACGTAGATAATATGATTAAAAAATAAATGCACAACTAAGATTAACAACTGTGTTTCAGGAAAGATAAGACATCCCAAAGCATTTTTTACAGTCGGTTGTAAAATACAGTAAAGCTGTTGTTATTTCGTTGGATTAATCAAGGTTCCAAGTCCTTTAACACTGTACCGAAACAGTCTACATGTACTTTGGTTGCTGAACTAGTTCTTAATGTGCAATTCCCTTTATGCTTAACTTAATATTGTCAGGTTATGCCACTTTCTACTAGAGTGGCTATCTAGAAAATCTGCAAGGTCTATTTATTCGACCGCTGCAAAGTTTTCCAAAGCACATAACACAATATCGTTCTCACATGGAGACAGGAACTGTAAAAAGATATCAATAATATCCGATTTTACCTCACCAAACATTGCTTCTTCAAATATAACTGTTGCAAATAAAACTTTAAAGATAAAAAGTTGTGCGCACAAGATTAAAAAAATTGTGCGCACAAGTTTTAAAAAGTTGTGCGCAGAAGTTTAAAAGTTGTGCGCACAAGATTAAAAGTTGTGCGCACAAGATTAAAAGTTGTGCGCACAAGTTTTAAAATGTTGTGCGCACAAGATTAAAAGTTGTGCACCGAAGGGGCTCTGTTATTAGATTGTACCACTTGTGAATCAGTAATACAAAACATGTGTAAAATGTATTTAGAATGATAAGATGAGGCTGAGATAATGATTTTTTTTTTATTTTATCTTTATCCAACACCAGTCTGATGCCTTTTTTTTTTGGGGGGGGGGGGGGGGGGGGGCATACTGTAAAACATGGTATGGTACGGTGGTAAGATATGTGGTATTGTATAGGCAATATAATGGTTTGGTACAAATACCATCATAACATGTATACATAAATGGTATGGTACTTATACCATCATTACATGTATACATAAATGGTATGGTACAAATACCATCATAACATGTATACATAAATGGTATGGTACAAATACCATCATAACATGTATACATAAATGGTATGGTACAAATACCACCGTGCATTTGTAAATTTATCTGTGTACCTTATTTAGGGTACATAATATGTTATTTATTATCTTCACACGTACCCTTGTGACTCTTGAATATATACTGGAGTATCCCGATTTCAACATTTATTATCACTCTGAAGTTCGATTTTGTTGAACAGGGAATATGAGTTCAACAAGTTATTATCAAGTTCAATCTCTGCAAACAATATTAAGGAGATTTAACATGAGTTTAGAATATTACTAAAACTTTCTTCAAACAGTTGAAAAGTTATTTTATACCATACCATATTTTACAATATTTAATTTTACCATGGTATTGTAATATGTTCCATATGACCATGCCATACCATGATACCATCGTTACATACCACGTCATGGTAGCATTTGTACCATACCACATAACATATCATCTTACCATACCAGGTTTTACGGTATGTCGTTGTTTCTTTTTGATATGGTTTTTGTGTGTGGTTTTTTATGGGAGGTGATTAACTTTAGAAGTCTTGTTAAAAAAAATCAAAACAAATCGTATCTCATTCTCAACAGAAAATATGTAAAAGCATTTATCAATAGAAATGATTATATAAACTAATTGAAATCGTCAAATCAATATTTTTGTTTCGTATTTTGTAATATAAACAATTTATATAAATGCATAAGACTTATTATGCTGTGTTTTAAATGTTTTATGCCTTTTTTTAATCCAAACACAATAATACCATCTTAATGAAAGAATAAAGAATGACAGCTGCGTTAACGAGTGCGGACTAGGTTGAAAGAAAATTTACAACGTCTCCAATCTTTTCAAAAACAATTCCCCAGAAAAGCATCCTTGTTTTTCTTTTGGGTAGCACCGCTAATATACAAAAGATCAAATTCAAGTTACGAAACTATTTAGCGGCGTAGTAAAAGACTAAAGGTGAGGGATCAATTCTTTGTCATTGAAAATCAAACATAAATAAAATTATCTTCTATAGTCTTATATATTCTATAGTCTTATAATCTAATATTTAGTCAGGGTCCTCTTTCATTTCTATTTTTTTTTATTTGCCATTAATTTTCTTTTGTCAAACACTGAATGAAACCTAGTCCCCCCAACCTGTTTCCCACGCTTTCAACCGTGTCACACATATTCCAGTACTGCCATCATTTCCTTAGATATTTTACGGTATTATTTATATATCAGATACACACTTTAAAAGATTGATGAAAGCATTGCATGATTTACTGATTAAGTTATAAGTATTTAAATTATACTGTTGATATAACATTTATCACAAAAAAAAACATAATGTGTATATGTGTGAACAAAATTCTCAGTGGTAAACTTCATCTTAATGGGAGGGATCGATGAAACAATCGTTTCGTGGGATTTTGAACTAAAAACGATTGTTCATATTACTGTAATCAGAAATAAATATTGTTTGACATAGGTAACCTGGTAACGTTGTAGAAAGTAAGAACCTCTTATCCAAATTGTCAAAATGCAAATATCAGTTATAACACCTGTAGATTGTGTCTAAAATATTTGTTTGCTTTAAGACACTACTCAGTCATTTCAGTGTGTGTGTGTGCTTTTATTTGTCTGTTTTGTTTTGGTTTTATTTTTCTCTAGGACTTGTAACGAACATATGCAGGCACAAAACTTATCTAAAGTAATCAGGATCTGAACGGGTTTACCGAAAAGAGGAAAATGGACAAAATATAAAGAAAATCTAAAACGGGCAGAAACTAAAATAAATTAAACCGAGTGTTAAAATAAAAAGAAAAAAATTCAAGCCGCGGTACATTAGTGGGAAAATGCAAAGAACAGAGGACGTTCCGGCAACCAAGGGGCGAGAATAATGGACGAAAATTCTATGAAGATCCTTATCAAGACCCTCATCAATGTTTTTTTTTATATTTAAAACAAACTATTTTTTTCTCATTTCCGTTCTGAAACAAATTAATATTTTCTAGACATTTTGAATTCAACAATTCTTTTTAAAAAAATGCCCCTCCCTAATAAAAAAAAAATGATCGTTGCCTAACTTCTTTTATTGCGGAAAATCTTTAATATCTCCTGATACCATGTAGTGATTTATATTATAACAAAGGACATGATTCCGTTCGTCGTGTGTGCAAGATGTCATACACATCTCTTTACATTTTCTATGATATGTAATATGAATGAGATGTTAAATATTATAAATCAATTTGGATTATCAGATTGTCCTAATTTTTTCAGCTACTGACAAACCGTGAAATTTCAAGTGCGTTGGAGCCATTTTAAGGGAAACAACGATAAATATTATTCAACCACTTTTAAGCGACCAAGATTTGACTCCATTGAAATATGGTTTGGAATCGATACACATGTTTCTTTAAAG